CTTGGACAAAATGCTCCTTAACCCAGAGAGTAGCAACAACTTTAGCCCTAAGTACTGGTAGTGTCCACAGGGCTGTAGATGATTGAGGTTCTCCTCAAAGAATTAAAAATCCCATGAGTATTAAAGGAAGGACAGAGTATCAGTAGATTGTCCTAAGCCAAAAATTTATCCTTTCTTAACTTTCTTAACACTGGCCCTCCAATACCACAGACAACTTGGGTCCTAGAAGTTGAGTGAGGTTAATGGGAATTTGCTTTATAATCATAACTTAGTACCATGTGGCAGGGGAATCCTTCTATTCTCTGCCTGAAGAATTTAGGTCTGAGGAAAAAAGACCTGATGAGTTTGGGAAGTTGATGATAATAAAATTATACAATTTATCTGATGAGGAATCTGGTTTGTGCATTCATAATCTGATGCAGGTAGCAATTACTACCACAAAATACTTAGGAATGTTCCAGAATTTACTGCAATATATAGGATGGGGCCCAACTGGTTTCAAATACTTAATTATTATTATTTATAATTTTTATTGGTATCAGTCTTACAGTTGTCTCCCATTTCCCCCTTTTTGTCCCCTTCACCCAACCCCTGCCTCACCATAGGCTTTTTGCCACACTTTTGTCTGTGTCCATAGGTTATGCATACATACATATATGATCTTCAGTTAATCTCTTCCCAAAGACTTTTTGAGTACTCCAAAATAAAATATTTGAAGTGCCCTCCATATCTTTGGCAAGTATATATGACTCTGATAAGATTTTATACTTTATAGCTTACTGTTGGACATGGCTATATTCAGCACATCTTAAATTTTTAATACTGTTAAAGAGGTTACAACATAATACATTTTTAACCCCTTATTCATAAACTATTTTGGTAAATAAAATACAATAGTGGAACACTTTGTCATCTTCTCTTTTTGCCACTCTTGGTTGAGAGGGCCCGATTACTTTGAAAAATTATGAAAAGCAAAAGTAGTAGTATTTTTTTTTCTGTTTCTATTCCTCACTGGAGGAAATGACACTGCCTGGAATGGTACACAGCTGGTCTCTTGAGACAGGGGCTTTTGTCAACTCCGAGAATGCAAAGGCATCATGTTAGCCTAACTTAGGCAGGTAAAAAACTGTTGTGAAGACTTAGGAATGCACTAAAAAAATATAGTAATACTTTTGAATAAAGAACACTCTTTGGCACACTTCCTATTACATAACTTTCAACAATTAATGACAAAAATCCAGCCAGTGAACACTGCAACACTTGAAATTTGTTTTGCAAAAGGTGCTAAGATATGTGAAACGGCCATACATGGTAGCCCTGTTGTTTTCATTTTTCTTCATCTTCAGCTTATTGCCAATTCCTTGTATCACGATTATTTTATTTTATTCCAGGTCACTAAATCAAAAATTCATAATAGTGCTAAAAAAGATTAGGCACTCCAGAGATGGAACTGTTTAGAACTGGTAGATCTGCACACTGTTTTTCCTAACCCGTGGGTGTTTATGAACATCTAAGTTTCGATTTTAAAAATCCAGGTCAATAGGTTAAGAAAACAGTGATTGCCTCAGTTTAACTGGTGTTAAACCAACAACAGTGCATCAAATAATGTTAAATTGAGGCCCCCTTTCATTTTTTATTCTGGTATAAAAGACCACGTTGTGTGGCATTATGGTTATAATGACTGTTCATTCAATTACCTTGGTACATAGCATGTGAGCAGTTTGTAAATCTGAGCATGTTGGTCTGTTCTTCCTGGGAATGAAGTTTCCAATGGTAGTTTGAGTGACAAACATCTCAGAGTTTGCTCACATTCCTCTGTGGAATAGTCACTTCTGAGAGAAAGAGGTGCGGCTTCGTGGTCTGGGAACAGGACTGTCAGCCAGGAACACAGAGTTCTCATCCTGGAACTAGTTCTATTTTCTTTACGGATCAGTCATGCTAATGAATCTTTCTAGGACTCAGTTTACCCAGCTTAAAAACTGGTTACAAAAATCTAACTGGGGCATATTGAATATTAATGAGTGGATGGATATCTGTTAAGTGATTTGAAATGAAAAGTGATATGAATGTAAGAAAATATTATTTTCATAAACTAAGAAGTTTTATAAACTAACTATAAAAGAACAGTTTTGTGATTTAAAAAAAAATACCCCAAAATAAGAAAATTTCATTTTAATGTTTGAATATTTTAATTTTCCTAAATATTTTTTATCCTAAATATTTTTCTTTATGTTAACATGCTAAGTATTCTATGTGCTACAAGTAATTAAGTTCACGATTAGCTTCCATTTAAACATAAAGAGTTAATCTTTTTGTTCTATATAGCAAAGGGAAATTCTTTTGAAGTTCCATGCACTGGAAGAATATAGATATTATTAACCTTAATGTTTTAGAGAAAAAAGTTAGGATCAAAGAAATATACAATTAATCTAGAGCTTGAGTAGGGGGGTATAATGAACTGCCTGTTTTAAAATGATAAAGACTTCCAAGAATAAGATGCAAGTTCCAGAAAGAGAAAATTGTACATAAGTGTCTAAACAAAATGGGGGCAAGGAGGCGGGAGTGGGGAGACCTCATGATTATATTCTATAGCTGAAAGAATAAAGTTAAAACACACACACACATACACCTCAAATGCAAGATGTTCCAGTTTGGTGTCTCAGATGGTCTGCACTCACCCACCCCAAATACAACCTCCCAAAATTAATCAGCCTCATGTGTGAGATTTTTAAAAAGCCCAAAACTTGTAAAAAAAAATGTTGTAATTCTTTACACAAGGAAGCTTTAAATCTATCTTTCTCCCCTTTTAAAAAATGAAAACAAAACAATGGATCTTCATTTCTATGTCTGGGATCTCAAATTTGGCTCTGAATATGTGTTTGTCAAATCTCATTAATTACAGTATTGGTCCCACGAGACGCAGTTGCTGATGCAAAGAACATTCTTCGTATTCAAAATAATCTGAACAAGGGCAAAGAAGCATTTTATTTACCTGTGTAAACATTAGGAGGAAAAGAACAGAGACTGTTCAGGTAGCTGCTGAGATGTTTTAATGGTAATTGATTTGATTACTATAAAGCTTTAAGGTTACCACATATAGGAACAGTCATGTTTTCACTTTGTATATTTGTTGGATGATAACATTCTTATAAAGGTAACCGACATTAACTTGGCAAGCTCTGAACTAAGACCTTTTAGCATTTTATTCTTTACAGATACTACGACCAACTTGTTCTGAATTCCATAAGTCCCTGTGCAGATCTCTAATTTATTTTTAAAATATCAGAAAATATGCCACTACACAAAGGACTCTTCCATGTAACATATCTGGGTAAAATACAATCAAATGAATAAATTACAGCAGCAGACAGTACACAGCCTGTGTTATTTTCTTTCATTTTCCTTTCTCTTTAGGAAATAGCAAAATAAACCATGGCTATTTGTGGTCTTGTACTATAGGAACCCATGTGGTGATACATTTTCGTGCTATTAACAAATTTGTTGGCTCAATGAGTAGAAAGTAAAGTCCGTTGTAAAGATGCTTAATGCCTAACATGGGGAGGATCATCTGCTATGTATAGCCACAACCTAAAAATCTTGTTTTGAGATCTGATGGTGCCCGTGGGCTGTCTTTAGATGGATACTGAAGAGCAGAGTTAAGCAGCCTTGGTTACATATGATATACAGATGCCTGGGTCCATCCCAAAGGTTTCTGATTTAGTTAGCCCGATTTATTCTAGTGAGGTCCCAGATCTTGTATTTAAAAACAAATGAAAAAAGAATAACAACAACAACATCTTCCTAAAGAAAGTCTAATGTGCCACAACTGAGAATCCTGGTTAGAGAATCCCTATATTGGTGCAAGGATCATAACTAATTTATTTTTAGATAACAGCACAAACAAAGCCCATGTTTGTTTGTTTTCATTGATTTTTTTTTTTTTTTAGAGAGAGAGAGAGAAAAGGAGAAGGAGAGAGAGGAAATATCTATGAGAGAGAAACATCATCCATTGGCTGCCTCCTGCATGCCCCCTATTGGGGACTGAGCCCAAAACCTGGGCATGTGCCCTGACTGGAATCAAACTGTGACCTCTTGGTTTTTAGGTAGAAGTTCAACCCCTGAGGCACAGGGGCTGGGCCCTTGGTTTTTAATGGAAACCTTACCTTATTCCAGGTGTGGGCAGGAGCATGATCAACAGCTGCCAGGAACTCCCTCCTTGACAGCATTCTCTAAGCACCACCTTATAGGGAATATTCTATGGGTGATGGAGCCCTGAATGACAATAATTTTCTGGACTGAAGCCAATGGAAGTAGATAATTGAATAACAAGTTACATAATGCCAACCTGACGGCAGAGTCTGTAAACAGTGGAAGCCTTATCAACATTTGAGCATCTTAAGTGATAGTTTAAGAGAGAGGTTTCCTGGCTCAGCATCACTCCTAGTTCTTCAGAGACTATGAATGCCATCTCTCCACTACCAAACCACTGGAGATCATTAGAAACAGAAAGGAGACTTTCAGTAAGAAATGGCAAATTACTTCTCTTGGAAAATTAATCAACTTAAGCTATTGGGATTTTTTTTTCCACTTTATCTCTACTTCTATTGGCAGAATTTTTGTCTCTCTCTCTCTCTCTCTATATATATATATATTTCAGAGAGGAAGGAAGTGGGGGAGATAGAAACATTGGTGAGAATCACTGATCGGCTGGTTGCCTCCTACATGCCCCACGCTGGGGATGGAGCCTGGGCATGTGCCCTGACCAGGGAATTGAACCATGACCCCCTGGTTCTTAGGTTGACACTTAACCACAGAGCCTTGCCAGCTGGGCTGAATTTTTGTCCTTTTCATAAAAGCACCTGTATTTTTCTTTTATCTTTTTATTATAATGTCAGTCCTCTATTGTTTTGGTTATCTTCTTTTGCTATTATATTCTATGGCTTCTTCATTTAATGCTGTTTCTTTTATTCTTCTTCCTTTCTTTTCTTTTCTTTTCTTTCTTTTTTTTTTTTTTACCGACAAAGACATCAATGTCACAAATTAGTAGCAGAGACTAAAACTCACAGTATAGTTCTTCCCCACCTCCCAACTTCTTTGTAGTTTTCTACTAGGGTGTGTCTTCAGATACTGAGACCTGTTAGAACAATCAGAAATGATACTTTCTTTTAAAATGTTCAAGGAAGGAAATACTTTACCTGTTCCATTTTTTTTTTCATTTTCCTTAATACCATATAACAGGGTCCTTCTTCATTTCCAACCCCAGTTTTTGATATATGTTTGGTTGCCAATCCCTTTTCTGATTCTCCCTCTCTCATTTTTTACTAGCTGCCCTTCCTTAACCTTCTGTTGATGTTTTATTCTTATAACCTGATGTCAATGCCCACATAAGCCCATTTCTTTCCATTCCATCCATCTCATCTTCATATGAATTTTTATGACCCTACTACTAAAAGCGTAAAGCTCTATGTGAGGAATTGAAAGGTACACCTTTTCCCATTTGAATCTATTTCGTCTTCCCTCCCACAGCCATTTCATCCTTTTCTGATGTTTCCCCTGGTCCCACCCTCACCTGCACGCCCACCTGCACCCCTCTTCCCTGTCACTTCCTGTTTGATGCCCATCTATTCTTTCTAACTCCACTTGCACTGTTTGATTTTTACATCCAAGGACCCCCGCAACATAAAATTATGGAGTTCTTTCGGGAACCAGGTTGTATTTCAGAAACTTTTGCACATTTTCTGAAGTGGGACGGGATTGGGGGCTTGGATTCAGATATTCTCAGACAGCCTTTCAGCTCGGGCCCGGCTCTTGGAGCGAGGCTGGGGTCCATTCCGATGGACAAGGACAGGATGGCTGCAGGCCTTGTATGGCCCTTCCCACTCCAGGGATCAGGACGAGTAGGCATCACCCATCAAGGTTGGAAATCCAGGCCAGATGGGGATGCTTGGGGCCTTTTTCTGCAGCCGATCTGGCAGGGGAGCCGGTGCCTGGTGCACCACGGGGGCTCCGGGAGGGCAGGGGCAGGGGCACCAGAGGCCTCAGGAGTCATCTCGCCATCAGTGGAAGGCAGGCTCACCTCTCAGGAGAGGAGGCAGGCCCGAGGCCGGGTGCTCCCTTGGGGCGCAGGGCGCGGTCCCAGGAGCCAGGCGACGCCACTCCAGCGGCG